ACAGCACTTAACAACAACAATATGCAGTTAAAATTCTCTTGGGAATTCTGCCGAGAAGGCAGTCACTGATCCCTCTGCAGGGTAGAGAGCAGCATGGGAGAGGGAGGGGGCCCTCTGTCTGAGGTGCTTTATTAGCCGCCATCTAGGTCTTATGTTGAGGGTACATTTACAACTGTTCGTTATGTTGTTTTAAATGAGAACACAAATTAATATCTGCATGGGAAAGAAGGAGAACCCAATGAGTACCACAAAAGCTGTTAGGCAGCTCTTACCAACCAGAAACCTGAATGAACACTCTTGAGGCTAAAACCAAAATTCTGAGTGGGAGCCAGCTGGGACCAGGGCACCTGGAGAGCAGGTAACTTTCAGTCTATTTGATGCTGGAGAGAGGAAAGTCCTCTGCGATGAATCTTGTCCCCAGCTACACTCCTCCATGGGCTCTGCAGAATTCTGGGTATAAATTGCTCTGAGAGTCCCATCAGAGTGAAACTCCACAATTAGATAGTCCTAGCTGGGGGATAGGGGTGGGGAGGAAAAAGCCCTTAACAAACGCAATAAAAATCATCTGGGGCTGGAGATGGCAGGGACACAGTAAAACGCTGTCTGATCTGTCCTCCACCCCTCAGAGGCATGCAACGACACAGTAGATATGTCACACAGTCTGGGATTCCATGTGTGCTTTGCCAGAACCTCAACCTTGAGTCGAATTATCAGGGAAGGACTTTGAGGATTGCACATACCAGGGACGCCCCAACGAGCTCTGCCTAACTGGACACCAGCTCCCAGAGTCCCCAGTCATGATACAGAGTGTCCACTGTCCTGGATTGCCAGCAGAGGTCAGGCCCAGAGGTAGCCAGTCTTCGCTTCTGTCTTCTTTGGGTTTTGAGCCCTCCCTGGGGGTTCAAGCTGTTCCCACCGACCTCCACTCTGCTCCTGGTTTTGCAGAGACACTTCCTAGGTCTAGCTCTTCCTGTTCCAAGATGACTCATTTCATGTTATCATGGTGGAGGACTGCTGAGATGGGTTTGAGGAGCATTTTCTCAGGTCCTCATTCCCTAATTCTGTTTTCCCACCAACTGTGAGCTCCCCTTCAGCCCTGGCGGCTGTTCCTCTAGGCAGTTAATCCACTGTGCTTCCTTTCTAGAACCCCGGGTTAAAGCTCCTCCCCCACTCCCTGCTGTCACCTCCAGGCAGCCCATGGTGTTGCGAATAATTCTTCATGCTCCCCAAGAGTCCCTCAGGATGACAGCTATGATGGTGTCTGGCACCTGGTCCTTGTGGGCCTAGGTCTCAGCATGCATAGTTCTTTGGAGTCCACCATGGACCCTCTGCTGCTCCCTGAGTGAGTACATTTCCCAGGAGAACAGGAGTGCCCACCAACTGAGATCCACAAATAGATGGAGAAAGCCTGAGGACCAGTCATGAATTTCATTTGTCCTTGGCAATTTCCTTCCACCATTAGCAGCAGACTCCACTGGTGGAGCGTGTAGGTCAGCAATGAGGTTCCACCTCCTCCTAGAGGAGCAGAAAGCCCAGGAGCCCTCAAAGGGCAAAAGGAGTCTCCCCAGCCTGTGCCCTAGCCCACCCTTCCCACACAGGCAGCCCATCCTCAGACACCCAACCCTAGGGATGTACTGACACAAGAATCCCAAACAGTGTGAACCCCAACCTGATTCTCTAAGGACCACTTTGTTAGTATAGAAGACAAAGATCAAGAGATAGATAAAGAATTTGAACTGACTAAAGGCCAATCCATGTTAGGAAAGCAGAACTGGACAGGGGACCTTTCTCTTTTGGAAACTGTCTAGAGGCTCTGCCCACTCCTACGGCAGCCAGGTAATCCTGTGGCCTCATTGGTCTCTCCTGCTTTCTGAAGACATGAGGGCTCTGGACACAGAAAGCAGCATGTTAGAGCTACCCCTTAGGGACCCACCTGACCAAGGACAAAGATATTTCCTTGGGCTCACAGCCCCTGAATAGCAACAGGGTGTGATGGGTCTTCTCCCTTGTAGTGTGCATGTATGCATGAAGATGTGTGTATGTGTTTGCATGTTGGGTGTACCTGTGTGTTGGGACAGGGAGGAGTGTACACCTGAGGAGCATATGTAAAAACATAGATGTGTGCAGGCCCAGAGACTCCATGGCCATGAATGGTCTCAGTGTAAGTTTGCATGTTGGACTGGAAGTGAGATGACAGGTGTGTGCTGCTGCAGGTGGCAAATGTTATCAATAGGAGCAGCTGTTCTCTGCTCGTCCATGAGCCTGGTCAGCCCTGAGAGTGCCAAGAGGAATTGCCTTGGTCCTTAGGTGGCCATGCCTCTTGTCATGCCTTGGAGATCCCCAAGGGGATGCATTGGGCCCACTCACCAAGGTGCTTTTTTCAATGACTTGTACCAGCAATCACACCTATGTTTCTCTACTAGGAACCTCAGAAGTGATCCCCCAGGCTGAGGGGGCCATGAGTGACCCCAACAACACCTTAGTGACAGAGTTTGTCCTGCGGGGCTTCCCAGAACTCTGCCACCTGCATGGGCTATTGTTTGGATCCTTTCTGACCATCTATGTGGTGACCATTCTGGAGAACTTGGTTATTGTGGTGGTCATCAGAGCCAGCCATCAGCTGCACACACCCATGTACTTCTTCCTAGCCAACCTGTCAGTGCTGGAGACACTGTACATCTCAGTCATTGTCCCTAAACTGCTGGCTGGCCTCCTGGTGCAGGCAAAGACCATCTCCTTCTCAGGGTGTCTCACCCAACTGTTCCTTTTCCTCTCACTGGGCTCTTCTGAATGCTTCCTTCTGGCCACCATGGCCTGTGATCGGTACCTGGCCATCTGTCACCCACTTCGATATCCAGCCATCATGGACTCAAGGCTGTGCCTGCAATTGGCCCTCAGTGCCTGGCTTGGTGGCTTCCTGGCCTCATTTGTGTCCTTGGCTCTTATTTCTCGCCTCAGGTTCTGTGGCCCCAACATCCTCAATCACTTCTTCTGTGACATTTCCCCATTGCTGCAGCTCTCCTGCTCAGACACCACTGCCATTGAGACGCTGGACTTTGTGGCAGCCCTGGCTGTACTTGTGACCTCCTTGCTGGTGACGGCATTCTCCTATGCCCACATCCTGGTCACAGTGTTGAGGATCCCAGGAGGGGCTGGTCGCCAGAAGGCCTTCTCTACCTGTGCCTCCCACCTGGTGGTTGTGGCGATCTTCTACACCACCACCATCTTCATGTATGCCCGTCCTCACGCTGCCAGCTCCTTCAACCTCAACAAGCTGGTGTCCGTGATCTACTCAGTGGTGACTCCACTAATCAACCCTGTCATCTACTGTCTGAGGAACCGAGACATCAGGGAGGCCCTGGTCAAACTCCTCCGGACATCTGGCCCTTCCTGAGCACCAGCTAGGGAACCCCTTTAGGAACAAAAATGTCTGAACTGGTCTTCTTTCCTCAGCGTTCTCTCAGAGCAGAAGGCAGGCAGCTTGGCTAACAGCCCTAGCCCACTGTCCAAGCTATTCATCAGTCTCATCAACCAGCAAAGCCAGCAAGTTCACCTGAGACAGAGCTGCAAAGAGCCCCAAAGTGGCTAGAAGAGAAGTCAAAGGCTGGACAGTCAGGCCTAATTTGTCAGTTGCAACCCTGGACTTGAACCCCCTGATGTCCTCCCAGGGACCTCAGCAACAGAGGTAAGGACAGAGCCTCAGCTCCCAGACACACTGCCCAGAGACTTTCAGCATCAGATTTGGGGACTCTGACTCTCAGACAGGTTGCTTAGGGATTCCAACACCAAAAGCAGGGACAGCGCCTGGGTCCCATCGGCTTTCCCAGGGACTTCAGAACCTGAGATGTTTCCCTTTTTTCCAGCCTCATTTCACTCTTCATCCTCACTTGACCTCAGCCCATGGGGTTCTCTGTCTCCAGCTCACAGAACCTCTCCTCCCCTGTCTCTCCTTTGTATTGGCCTCCCTTCACTGGCCAGGTGGAGCTTCTCCTGGTTCATTTTATTGTTTTTTCTCCTCAGGAAAAAAAGATGATATATATTATATAGTGTTCTTAAGAACTGTTGGATAAGTTCTGATTCATAGCAACTCTGTATGAGGTTTATGAGGAGATGAGGAGTGACGGTGGGCTTGAATACCCATCTTGGGCTTAGCAGTCCTGTGCTATTCCCACAATACCACACCAGGACCCTACAACTATAACTATACACACACACACACACACACACACACATATATATTTGTTGTTATTGTTGTTAAGTGCTATCAAGTTGGTTACAACTCATAGCAACCCTGTATAGGGTTTCTGAGGAGTGGCTGGTGAGTTTGAACTGCCAGCCTTGTGGTTTAAACCCTTCTGTGGCCCAGTGCTTTACCCACAGCAACACCACACCAGGACTCATATATATATGTTGTTGTTGTGAAGTGCCATCATCGAGTACCCTGTATAACGTTTCCGAGGGGCAGCTGGTGAGCTTGAACCGCCAACCTTGCAGTTCAAATGGCTTTGCAGTCTGGCGCATTAACCCACAGCACCACCCCAGGACTCCATATATATATATGTTGTTTAGTACCTTTGAGTTGTTTCTGATTCTTAGTGATTCTGTATAGGGTTTCCAAGGAGCAGTTGGTGGGTCTGAACTGCTGACTTGGTTGTTTGAAGTCCAGTACTGATGATCCTATAGTGCCACACCAGGATACATGTATAGATATATAATTTGACAAATGTATCAGGTTGCTTTATGAGGGAGTTTTAAATATATGCCAATGATGTGTTGTAATACTCCTCTTTCATACCATTTCCTATATATTTTGAGGTTATGTCATTAAGTGCATACAAATTTAGAAGTTTTATATCATCTTGGCAAATTGAACCTTTGATCTTTAAGAAGTGTTGCTCCTATCCCGAATCATGTTTTTGCTTTAATCTTGGGGTTTAAAGCCTACTTTGATATAATCATATCTTCACCAGCTTCATGTTTGTTAGTATCTACATGATATACGTAGTATCTGCATCTGATATATGGAGTCCTGGTATGACACTGTAGGATAAGCACTTGACTGCTAACCACAAGGTTGGTGGTTCAAACCCACTAGTTGCTCCTTGGAAGCCCTATGTAGGATTGCTATGCACAGGAACTGGCTCTCTGGTGTTTAACAACATGATAGACACTTTTCATCTGTTCCAGCTGTTCATTTATTGTCACCTTTCCATGGCCGGCTGGGACTCTGAAAATCACACAGTTTGCTGTTCCTGTTGCGAAATTAGGCGTCAGTCTTAATCTTCTTCCTGTGTAGGTAATGTGCAAGGTTTAAGATTTTCCTGGTCTGTTTGGTTCCTAGCATTCTTACCTAGAGATGTTTCCTTCTATGCTTACTACTGCTTGAATCTGTGATGTTTCTAGAATTTGTAACTTGTTTTTGTGAGAAATTATCTGTCAGTATGTCCTTAAATATTGCATCTATGGCCTTCTTTCTTTCCTCTAGTCACACCAGTTTCCTTTTCATTCGTATTTGCATGATTATTTCTCATGACATCTGTGCTGCGTATTAATCTATGGCCCCTTAGTTTCTAACCACCCTTGTATGGCCAGCATTGTGATACCAGAGACGGACTCTCCTGCCAGACTTCTGCTTTGCCAGCTGCTACCTGTTTCTGTTGGGAAGTCATCAGTCAGCCTTCGTTTCACTCTTTTGTAGGGAATGCGAGCTTCTCCAACTTCTGAAAACTTTGAAGATCTTTGCATTGTGTCTGGTTTTCTGTAGCTTATGTAGCTATGCTTTCCTCTGTATTTATTTTGCTCCTAGAATCTACAGCTTGTTTTCGTTTATCAGTTTTGGAAATGTATCAGTCCCTGTTTGGTTATTTACTACATCCCTGTCAGGCTTTTTCTCCATTTCTTTGTTTCTAAAATTTTATGTATGTTAATTCTTTTATGGGCAGCACTGGTTTTGATGTAGGATAAGCACTGGACTGCTAACCGCAAGGTTGGCAGTTCAAACCTATGGGCTGCTTCCCCGGGAGAAAGGTGAAGCTGCTCTCGTAAGGATTTGCAGCCTTAGAAATGCAATACAGGGATGCTATGGGGAACCAACATGACAACACCTAGTAACACTGACAGCAGTCCTCTCAGACGGTCCTCCGGGACTCTTGGCTTGCTGTTCTGCATGCTCTGCATTTTTTGGTCCTCTGTGCTTTCATCTGGACATCTACTTCTGATCTCCTAGGTCACTAATTCTCTCCCTTGTTGTTGTAAAGTGCCATCGAGTTTGTTCCAACCTGTAGCGACCCTGTATAGACCCAAGAGTGGCTGGTGAGCTTGAACCACTGACCTTGTGGCTCAAACCAACTTTACAGTCTAGTGCATTAACCCACAGCACCACACCAGGACTCCAATTTTCTCCCTAATCATGTGTAATCACTGTTTTTAATCCTGTATTTTACTTCAAGACTTTCTGATTCTTTATGTAGTGTTCAATTCCGGCCAAAATTCTTAACCTTGTCTTGACTCCATTAGACATCTACCAAGTCCCTACATGAGCTTGCTGATGGGCTCCGTTCTTTTGTTTTGGTCTCTTTGTTCCTTGCCAGGACTGGATGGTTTTTCCCCGTCTTTTCACTCCATTACACTGGTTTCCTACAATGCCTGTTTATCTGACAGGATGAGGTCCCTTTCTTTAGTCATCCTTTAAAAATTACTTGATTTTATTATTTTTAACTTTTTATTGGGAATTGAGTGAAGGGTTACAGACAAGATCATCAGCTTTGCATCCAACAAATCACACCTTGTTTCATCTCAATGATTACAATCCCCTCCATGAAACAACAGTGACCCTGCTTCCCCCCTGAAGTCCCTGTTTGTATTCCACCTGCCTTCCTCTCCCTTCTCAACTGTGTCCTTTGGAAAATGCTGCCCTTTGATTTTGAATGGTTGCCAATTCCATTATTTTAGACTTTTATTTTTCCATACCGATTTAAGACAGTGTTGATTTATTTCCCTTAAAGATTCTGCTGATATTTTTATTGAATTTATAGATTAGTTGGGAAAGAATGGTTGACTTCTCCATTTATGAAGGTCTTCTTTTACATTCTTTAATAAACTTTAAAAAATCTTGTGAAAGGTTAGTCATAGAGTTGAATACAAATGTGAAAAATATTTTATTTTACATTATACACATTTTCTAGTTATTTCTTGTTTTGACATAGAAATGTTACTATATATAACCGAGTCCAAGGTACACATTTGGCTGTTCATGTCAAAACATTCAGACAATTGTAGCGGAAGCAGGACAAGGGGTCAGAAAGTCAGTCTCAGGGACGAGTAAGGGGCCAACGTTACTGCACCACCAGGAACCCAGTCTTCCCATTTTCCATTCCATCCCACTCAGTCTGCTCGCTGGTCTTCTGTGTGGCCATCCCAGCATTAAGTCTACAATCCAGACAGGAGAAATGGAAAAGGAAAAGGGCATCTAATGCCCTAAATTTCCCCAGTTTGGGGTACAAAAGTTCTCCTGTGTCCCCTAGAGCACACTTCACCATAGGTTCTGTCTGCTGTGTGTTATCCCCGTCCCAACACACTGTGAGGAGTTGTGTCAGCCTTGTGCTCGGTACTCAGCTTCTGTGACTGGAATGAGTCTGAGGGCCCCAATCTCAGAACCTGTTGTGGTGGTTAACACTTCTGCCAGCACTATCAAAGTGTAATTAAAGCAGGTAATCTCAGCTTGCTCATATTTCTTACAGAAATTAATTTAGAGGTTCTCTACTGAGTACAAGGAGTCCTAGTATGGTGCTGTGGGTTAATGCGCCAGACTGCAAAGCCGTTTGAACTGCAAGGTCGGCGGTTCAAGCTCACCAGCTGCTCCTTGGAAACCCTATACACGGTTGCTATGGGTCGGAACCAACTTGACGGCACTTAACAACAACAACTGAGTACAACATCTGCTAAATTTTATGAAAACTAGCCTGTATCAATTACAAAGCTCACCTCTGGTCTAGTTTCCTTAGCATTTTAATTCCACATGAGTGTTGATTGAAATAAAATGTTTTGTCTTTACTGTTTGAGAAAATCATGGGTGTTTTTCTGCATTGCTCCATCACTGGGGTAGTGTTTACATGCTTTCCCAGATAACAATCATCTGGAACTTTACTTGATCACAATGTGTGTATTATTTCCTGTTGTATTTTATTTCACTGCGGGAAAACAGAAATTTGCCATTTTAGTCATTATTTTAAGCATAAATTCGCTGACATTGAGTACAGTCACAATGGGTGTACAGCCATCACCACTATATCTAGTTCCAGAACGCTTTCTTACTCCACAGAGAGACTTGGTGTTTCATGAACAATAATGGAGATGGTCATCAGGACCTGGGGGAGGCTCCACTTCCTGGACAGG